ACTGAAAGAACAAATAGACAAATCTACAATTATAATTAGATACTTCAACATGCCTCTTTACACAATTAATAGAGATAGTTCATTAAGTATATAGAAGAATTCAACAACACTAACAACCAACATGACCTAATTGACATTTTTAGGACACTCCATCAATGACATCAGAACGCACATCCTTTTCAAACACCCACAGAACATTTACCAAGATAGGTTATATCCTGAAACGTAACACAACAACCTAAATGTCCATCAATGATAGACTGGATAAAGAAACGTGGTACATATACACCATGGAATACTATGTAGCCATAAAAAGAACGAGATCATGTCCTTTGCAGAGACATGGATGGAGCTGGAGGCGATTATCCTTGGCAAACACAGTTACAGAAAACCAAATACCACATATTCTCACTTATAAGTGGAAGCTAAATGATGAGAACAAGTGGACACATAGAGAGGAACAGACATTGGGGCTTATTGGAGGATGAAGGGTAGGAAGAGTGAGGGGATCAGGAAAAATAACTAATGGGTACTACGATTAATACCTATGTGATGAAATAATCTATACAACAAACCCCCTTGACACAAGTTTACTTGTGTAACAAACCTGCACATGGACCCCTGAACTTAAAATAAAAGTAAAAAACAATATTAAAATTGCATGACATTTGCCAGAAGCCATCAAAATAAAAGTATACAGCTTTGAAAACAAACTAAAAAAATGTAAAATAATTGAAATCATATGGAAGATGCTCTCTAGCTGTGATTCATTCAGACTATAAAGTAAGAATAGAAAGATGAGACAATCTCCAAACACTTGGAAACAAGCCAAATCATTTATAAATAAGACATGGTCATAGAAACAAAATTGAAATGAAATAAAAAATACATTAAACTGAATTTAAATGAAAATATAATATGCCAAAATTCAGAGGACAAAACAAAAGGAATACTGAGATGAAAATGTATACCACTAAGTGCTGATATTATTAATCTTTTTTGATATTGTTCCATGTGTCATTGTTTTAGTGCACTTCTTTTGGTTACATTTCATTTTTGCATTTCCAGTATATAGAAATACAATTGACTTTTAAAAGCTTTTTATTTTAAACACAGAGCCACCATATGTTGCAAAATATAATGCAAGCATACCATTCCTAGATAGAACATCAGATTCTAGATATTGGATACTGGGGAGAAAAGGTTGCTTAAATGAAATCTTAGAGTTGCGGAAGTTAGTCACTACCCTGTGCATGATCCACAGGTCACTCATGATGGAGGGAGCCACAAAAGCCAATGTTTGGGGATACATTTTCTTAAAAGTCTTTCTGACCTCATCCTCTTCAAACTGCTTCTGAGTTCAAATAGGAAGAAATTAAGTGAACAAAATAGTTTGCACATTTATAGGAAAGACATTTTACTTCTTATGAAAACCCTTAGGCTGGGCGTGGTGGCTCACACCTGTAATCCCAGTACTTGGGGAGACCGAGGAGGGCGGATCACGAGGTCAGGAGATGGAGACCATCCTGGCTAACACGGTGAAACCCCACTCTACTAAAAATGCAAAATATTAGCCAGGGGTGGTGGTGGGCGCCTGTAGTCCCAGCTACTTGGGAGGCTGAGGCAGGAGAATGGCATGAACCTGGGAGGTGGAGCTTGCAGGGATCCAAGATCATGCTACTACACTTCAACCTGGGTGACAGAGCAAGACTCCACCTAAAAAAAAAAAAAAAAAAAAAAAAGAAAAAAGAAAAAAAAAGAAAACCCTTAAATTTGAAACTCTCTTATGAAAATTTAGCATTTAAAATGACTTACATTAATAAAAGTCTTCAGACAAAATAATTTGATTTTAACATTGTTTTAATATTCATGTTGAAGAAAAGCATGAATATATCAAAGAGAATTAGGAGAGGAAGCAGCAGATATCTTAATGATTGCAGTTAGAGACATGGAGGGATATTTAAGATTCCCTCAATTTCACAGAAACTTATCATTGACCTGGTCTTATAACCATCAATAATGTATCTTAGGAGGTTGTGTTTTAAAAAAATCAGTATATCCTAATGAAGGATTTCTAAGATATTTAATTACGAAAATGCATCCTGGTCCATTAACAGAGACTTATACGTTAAGAAAACCCTTCCAACCATTCCTTAATAGCATTTACTCCTGCAGATAACATCAGCAATTATTCAGTGGTTCTCAGTCATAACAGTGAATGAGAATCACCTGAGGCAATTTATAGTAAAAAGCAGATTTCTGGAATTGGTTCCTAAAGTTCAAATTCAGCTGGCCAATTATGGAACCATATTATTTGCACTTTGAAACATTCACTGTAATATGTATTTAACTTACCTCATTTCAAAATCAGAAAATGAGCTTTGTAAATGCTTCCTCACAATTCAGGAAGCTTCCTCTAATTTGAAATCTGTGGCTTCTTATGAACTGACGGTGACAAGTTCTCTGCAAATGCACATTGTTTGTGAAAAACAAAAACTGGTGATTTCTCTCAAGTTTCACTAACCTATCAATAGCCAGGTTTACTCAGTCCAAACTACTAGATAAACCCCAGGAACGTCTGTGCCTAGAGAGTGCAATGATCCACATTTATCTTTATGGATCTGGACAAAGCAATGTGGAGAGTTGAGCAGAGATTAGGAATGGAGCATGAGCCATTGGATAGTTCTGAGAACTCAGAAACACCTCATGGGATCTCGTATATATTTGGGCATTTACTACATGACTATTCCTATGCTAAACACACACACACACACACCAACTATATATATATATTTATATACACATACACACATTATATATACATACAATATATCATATGTATTTATAGTGCATAAAGCATATACACACTATATATTATATATAAATATATTTTAAATATATAATTATATACATAAAATTTAATAAGAAAGAATCCTAGAAAATCAGAGAAAAGTTGAAGGAATAAAGTCTTCCTAAAAATCAGCATTGGATTAGGTTTCTCTTTGATGGGCCTTCAGAGGATATCCTGTTTATTTCTATCATAGTTTTCATTTTGCCTCATATTTTGTGATTGTCTGTATACTTGTCTTTATTTCACTAATTGAAAAGATCCAAGTGTCTGGTAATGTATGTTCTTAAATACTCTATCTTCACTCCTAGATTATTGCCTGGAATCTGAAATGTTGTAGGTACTTGAAAAGCATATAATAATTGAATAAATAAATATATAGATAGTATTTATATTTTGATTAAAAAATTATGTCCAAAGTCTGCAGCAAGTCAGTGATCAGTATTACATCAATAACAACAAAGAAAATTACTTTTAAGGCAGATCTTGATTTCTCTTTAAGTTTTTGTTAATGTTCACATATATAGGTGTAATTGATTGTAAAACTTGACTATGTTCAAAGTCTATAAAATTAAAAAAAGAGTATTATAATAGGCAAGGGGACTTTATCTTAAGGCAGAAATTCTTTTCCTTCTGTGTTCTTTTATATTTATGCATATGTTTGGATTGCAATTAAAGGGCAAGTTGTAAGTACCCAGAAGCATGCCTTCCTGGATTGAATACAATATCCAAAGTCATTGGACGTTCCATTCAATTGCTTAAGTAACTCAATCATTACTCAATTTTCTCCTTTGGTTTAATATCTCACAGTCAACCCGGGAGAAAATTGCTTGAGTTCCCTGCACGTTAATTTAGTAAAAATGAAATTTAACTCTTGTTTATAATTGTCTTCTTAAGATCCATGGACATGTAAAAATTCAGCACAACATCTGCATCTGTGGCATTCAAACATACGCTTCCTGATAAATGACTCCCCAGGAGACAGAATCAAATCAGAAAGAGATGCAGTGTTTATTGAAAATCTACTTTGGGTGAAAATGTGTTAATTTAATAATTGAATATGTATTAAATGTAACACTATCATTTATGTTTACATTATAAAATATTTAGCTGTAAAATATGGATTTTTCAATGTTAAAATGGATTTCTGTAATGAAAATCACAGGAATGTATTCATTTTTTAAATAAAAGTGTTCAGTATAACACACATCTACTAGGAAAAGTATATTTTTAAAATCAATAAGATCTTGAAATGGTGCTGTCTTTTTTCTCCTTTCAAGCTTCCAAAATTAGGACAAATATTTGCTGGGCATTACTTAATCCCAGGCGTGCCTCATGTCTCGTGTTTTGAATAATGCACTTTGCGGTACTGAGCTATGATTAGGAAATAAAAATGTCTTTTCATATTAACTTTTAGGGCAGAATAAACTAGTAAGATAAATCTGGTTTTAGAAAATGCAGAGTTCATTCCAAAATATATGTGTGGAGTTGAAGATATATATACATATGTGTTATGTGTGTGTGTATATACACACACAGATATATTTTCACAGATATATATATCATTTTATCTTATTTTACTAATATATACACATACATAGATACATTACATATATACATATACACGCATGCATGTATATGTTTGTAATAAAATACATACATTTCTGTATATGTAAAATACATATATGCATACATACATGTAAGTATATATTTGTAATATAAAATAAAATGATATATTTTTGTTGAAATCAACTGTTTCTCTGAATAAATGATGTATATATCATTTCTCTGAATATATAGTAATATATATAGCTTCTCTGAATAAATGACATATTTTATATTGCATATATACATGTATGTATGTATATATATTTTAAGCTTTGTATATATATATACAAAAAATATATAAATACGTGTATATATTTGTTATATAAATACATACATTATGTATATATGTAATACATTATATTTACAAATTTGTAATATAAAATAAAATGATATTTTTTTGTTGAAATCAACTCTTTCCCTGTAATATAACACATTACAAATTATATCAATGTAGTGTCAGAATGAAATCTTTGAGCAGAGTTATATTAAAGAAATTATATCCCCTGTATGAGTAGAAACATGTCACACTATGGAAGGCTGGAATTCATTGAAAAGTCGCGAGTCGGTTTTGCAGTTTCTTCATAGCTGCTTTCATCTCCTCATTTCTCAGTGTGTAGATAATGGGGTTCAGGAGTGGAGTAAAAATGGTATAAAACACAGACAGCAGCTTGTCCACAGAAAACCTACTGAAAGGCCACACATAAATAAAAATGCAAGGGCCAAAGAACAGCGTCACTACCATGATATGTGCAGAGCAAGTGGAGAGTGCTTTGGATGTGCTACCGGCAGCACGCTGTCTGACAGTGAGGAGGATCACAGTGTAGGAGATCAGGAGGAGCAGAAAACAGCTCAAGGAAAGCAACCCACTGTCTGAGATCATAATTATACCCAAGACATAGGTGTCCATGCAGGCAAGTTTGATCACCAGAGGGAGGTCACAGAAGAAGCTGTCTACCTCACTGGGGCCACAGTAAGGTAAATTTGCAGTGAAAGCCACTTGACTGATGGAGTGCACAAATCCAATGACCCATGAAGCCAGCACCAGCTTGATGCAAGTCTGCCAACTCATCAAAGTCATGTAATGCAAGGGTTTGCATATGGCTACATATCTGTCATAGGCCATGGAAACCAGGAGCACCATCTCAGCCCCACCAGTAAAGTGCAAGAAGAAGATTTGAGCCATACATCCTCCAAAGGAGATGAGTTTTCGATCACTAAGGAAATCCCTGATCATCTTGGGAGTGGCAAATGAAGCCAACCACATGTCCAGGAAAGATAGGTTCCCCAGCAGGAAGTACATAGGGGAGGAATGCAGGCGGGGATCAGAAATTACAGTGACTAAAATGAGAAGGTTACTCAGCATAATGGCCACATAGATCCCGAAGAAAAATATAAAGAAAAAATTTTGAAGATGTCGTGAAGTGCAGAGTCCATGCAACACAAATTCTGACACCAAGGAATAGTTCTGCATGTGCATTGCCTCGAGTTTCAGACTTTGTTTGTAATCTAAATAAAGAAAAAAATCCTGTCATTTGCAACAACACCTCAAGGACATTGTGTTAAGTGAAGTAAGCCAGGCACAGAGAGACAAATATCAAATGATGTCACTTAATATGTGGAATACAAAAAAGTCAAATTTACATAAATAGAAAGTAAAATGGTGGTTACCAGAGACTAGGAAGGAGGAGGGTGAGGGATAAGTTTGTCAAATAACAAAGTTTCAATTAGACAGAAGGAAAAATTCAAGTGATCTCATCATTGTGATTATAGATAATAGCAATATATTATACACTTGAAAATCACTGAGAGAATAGATTTTGCATTCTCATCACAGAAAATAAGTATGTGATTTAGCCATTCCCTGATGTTTACATATATGAAAACATCATGTTGTACATTATAAAGGTATATAGTTTTTATTTGTCAATTAGAAAGAAAGAGAGAGGGAGAGGAAGGAAGAAAAGAAGTAAGCAAAAGTGCCTGTCAATTGCCTGGCACATGAAAGTGATCAACTGAGTGTTATCTCTGTATAATTTTTAACTTGCAAGAGATACTCTAAAATATAGAACGTTATATACTACCAAGCATGTATATTTGCCTTTTTCACACTTCAGTGATTCCTGAGGGGCAATTAGACATTCTGGAAGACTTCTGCATAGGTGAGAGTTGTAGGAACTTTTTTTTCCCCCTTCTTTCCATGGCCTTTGTCCATGTAAAAACATGCATCGATCAAGTGCAGTAGGTGAACCAAAATTCCTTAAGAGGACTGAGAAGATGAAGATTTTTTCAGGGGTACCATCTTCTCACCATCTGTGTCGATATCATTGCCCAATGGGTAATTAATTATTCTTAAGCACTAAATATGGAAATTAAAGTTTCACTTAAAAATAATGTCAACACATAAAACATGGGCAACTGAATGTACATTATTAAGTGTCTCTTCCTCTTCTTCTCTCTCATTTACACACAAAAACACAAAACAAAACCTAGCAAAGGCATGTTGATAGGTAGATGTATCTGTGTATCTAAATATGATTAACATGTCTTTCTCCTGAATCCAAGAGAAGCAAATTTTGTTTCTCAATGACAAAATTTAAAGGAGAAAAATTACTTTAAGCTAAAATGCATGTTTTGGATATAACAACTATGGGCGGGGGATGATGTATAAATACAGACGAGCTCCCAAATCGTGTACCCAAGTTATGTATGTTGCCTAGTAATGCTATAAAAGCCTCATTTATTGTGTTATATGTGAGTTGTAGAATGGCTCTTCTTATATTCTCACATGATATCTTTGAGGAAAATTTGATCTAAATAATAGCTCAGTTTCATAAAGTTTTAATCTAAAGTGTTAATCGTTGCTATCAGGGAGGACAGCCTATAATTGCAGGCCACAGGACTCTTTCCTCTTCCTTGCCCTTCATCAACAACCTGGATATGACACAATTTGCAGGTTTGCAGATAGCACAAATCTGAGATGATTTACTTACAGACTTATAGAATATTTCAATATGCTGGAAATATAGGCCGTAACCAGCAAACAAGAGATAAAAGGTGGAAGGAGGAAGAGAGAAGAGTGTAGATTGATACTTATCAGTCTAACAGAGACATACAGTATTATATTATTAACATATTTCTTTATAATCATGCTTTTAATGTGTTATAATTTTTTTCTCAAAAATGAATAAAAATATTTATGGTAAAATGTGTTGTAGTGCTTTTAATTAAATGAGTGAAAAAGGATCCAGATCTGGTTCAGGGCATTCATATCTTATTCTCCAGTTAAATTTCAGCTCAAGAAATGGCTTCCTATAGAGCCATAATGTTGAGATTTCTCCCATATTAAATCTGCTTGGAATATTTATTTTTTTCCCAACCACTATAAAATCACCTATTCGAAATGTTTGCTCAATTATTTTTAAATTATTTTACAAACTTGGTTATCTCCATAATACTTCCTTTGGAATTTTGAAAATCTCAGTCCCTTCCAGGACCCCTCCTGGCAGTAGTCAAGCTATCTTCTTCCTTATTCATTTACTCACTTACACACTCATTCATTCAGACTGTATCTATAAGACACTAACACATTTTTTTCATATCACTTTATTTGGTATAAAAACCAATCAATACAAGAAGAAATAAATCACTTAACCTAGGTTTTATTTAGTTTCCTCACCCCACAGATTTTTATTTTTGCTCTTATCATTTTTAAATTAATTGTATTTGGGATAAAAAACCATTGATCTAATTGATTTATAGATAGATTTATTATTTATAAACTTTGAGATGATTTAGAATGACTTTCTTTTAAAAAATACTTTAAATTATTATGTGGAAACTAAACAAAATAAACTGATGGATATAGAGAGTATAAAAATGGTTACTAGACAATGGGAAGGGTAGTGGGGAGGGTTGGAGGATAAAGGGAGGATGATTAATGCGTATAAAAATGTAGTTAGGATGACTTTCAATGAAAAAGATATTTCCAAGACCTCTCAACAAGGATCAGAGCATAAAACCTATGAAATAATTTTTTGGGGGGCTTTTCCCCATTACACATGATTGAATAATAAGTTCATCATGTTATTTAAAAATGTAGCTCTGAGTTTGCTGATGAAATGGAACAGAATTCATAGGTTCCATTATTAGTTATTTTTTATGAGCAATAAACTGGAGTCTCACTCTTCTCACTGAGAAGGAAATACTGTATAAACCTTTTTATAAGGGGTATCACAGAGAATCCTTCATGAGAAATTACAAAAAAGGTGCAGGACTCTCCTTCATATGAGCTTTTTAATGTTGCTCCTTTATAAAACTGAAGGATATACCACAAAAGAAAAGTCTTGTAAGGCTTCTACAGGGAAATAAGGTAACTTATTCTAGTTGTGAAATAGCCTAACAGTGAGAATTTGATGGAGTAATAGAATTTTAGAATCTAAAGGGATTAATGATTACCATATCTTCTTTAGTCCATTCAAATAGCACCCATCTCAACCAGACTGTTGTCAAGATAACGAAAATTCAAAATTCCTTTGGTTCTCCTTGAATTTTTATAAAAGCATTACATTAAATCATTTAATTGCAACACTTTTTTTGACAATTAGATGCTAACCATTTTTAGTCTGAAATTTTAAATCTGAAGCCAAAATCTCCAGTGGGCACAAGGGACATAATCACAAAGCAAGCATTCTTAGGAAGTTTACTTAGATTCTTCTGATACCCATTCTAGCACACACATCACAGGTCATAGAGCTACACTTTTATTGACATTCTTTTCCTTTTTATGCCCCTGAAAAATTTCACTTGTAAATCTAAAATATAATTGTATTCAATATACTGTTTTATGAAGATTAAGTGAACAGAAAGTTGAAATAATCAAATGGAAAACTCGGGAAACAAACATAAAGGAGCTCAATTTGCTATTGAATCAAAGATGTTCTACAGTTAGATACTGGTGATGGTTGTATAACTCTGTAAATACACGAAAAATCATTGAATTATACATGTAAAAATGAGTGAACTTTATGATATATAAATTATACCTCAATAATGCTTTTAAAATGGATATTAAAAGAAATGTAATAAATAGTCTCAATTATAGTTCTAATTTCTGAGAACTCTTTATGATGTGTAAATCATCTAAAAGCAAATAAACATTAAGTTTGTAATCAGAAAAAATGACATTGATGTATACAAACCAATGGTATTTTGAAATTAAAATATAAATCCAACTAATAATGAAAAACATTAATTTTAACTTGCAAGTTATTATGATGTAATCCAGTGATTTAATATATAAGATAATATAATAATTAGTCTCTATTCAACTTATATCTCATGCATGTTCATATTTATTACAAAAGTTCTTTACTAACCTGGAGTTAAGATGCTCAGTGCTGACACTGTAGTTCACCCAATTTATATTTTACATCTACTATACTTAAATGGAGCTATTGAAAATACACATATTTTATCCCAGAGATGATTTAATCATCTTTCTTCTTCCCCTTAAAAATAATTCGGGAAAAGCATTATCTTAAAGTTAGAGAACTTCAGATTTGAGTCTTCCTTGGAGTTAAGATATAAATATACCCTGTCTCCTACCAATTAAGAATGCTTTAACTACAGACCATTTGTGACCAATGACCATAACAAAGGCTGGGGAATAAATCATCTGAGGATGGAAATTTGCAGTAATGAATCATGTTCATTTCTCCAGGTGACAAAAGAAAAATAATTACAGATCTGTCAGATTATATAAGCTGGATTTATATTAGTATACATAGTTGCATTTATTTTAGTAATTCAAGCAGAATTATATATACCATTATCCAGTTAATCAAGTATAAAATGACAAATTTATCTTTAAATAATCAAATTAACAAGTTACACTCTAAAAATATGCTGAAAATTTGCCAACTCTGCACATTATATAACTTTGATCAAGCATTACACTTTGAAAAAGATTTACTCATACAAGGAGAATCAGATTTATATGTGCCAAAATATTTGCCTTCTCTAGATTTGTATGGTCAGGCATGATGAAATCTCCAGGTGTGTGGGTTACTTTGTTCATCATTTATTATTGATAGCCTACTTACTTCCCCAAATCATTCAAGGTTAATGCAGGATTCTTCTACTAATGGGTCCATGCTGAAGACAAATATTTCAAAACATTCTGATAAATGATCATCACATTTATAACTACTCACATGACATTTACAACTATTCACATGACATTTACTTCCATACTAGGTATGTAGGTTCTACTAAATGTATAAGACATTTGACTACCAAGACAGCATCTGAGTAGAGTAAAAAGTCTCAAGTGGCACATTGGCATTAGATAATCGTGTTTCACTTAAAATGAGTTGCAAAATCTAAGTTCTGTTTCTGTCTTTTAAACACACAGATAACGATTACTAAAGGAGGTCTGCAGAAGCAGTCTATCAGTTTCAGTGTGATTTGTTTCTGCAA